ACAATGACTAAAATTGATTTTACCAAAAACAATTAATATTTTTTGCACCTTTCGGTGCCCCCTTTGACAAATCAATTTGGTGCTTTCTCTGAAAGCAATTGTTAAACAATTACATGTGCACTAAAAGTGGCTTATCCCACTTGTTTACTTTTCAACAATCTCCCACTTGAAGATTTGATTGGAACAATCATATCTTCACACCATTCTTTCTACCTTGTACCATCTTGTTGCTTATGTCTCTGACAGGCCACAAGAGGATCGACACCAAGTAAATTTATCAGCATTGATCGCCTTCATCATGAAATCTGCTATGTTGTCTTTGGTATGGATCTTCTGCATATCTATCGTTCCTTCTTCCACCTTTTCACGAATGAAATGGTACTGAACTCGTATGTGTTTTGTCCTTGAATAAAATGATGGATTCCTTGCTAGATGCAATGCGCTTTGACTGTCACAAAACAGAGAGACATACTCTTGATTGTGCCCAAGCTTCTCCAATAACATCTTCAACCAAATTGCTTCTTTACTGGCTTGTGTAGCTACTACATATTCTGCCTCTGTTGTGGACGTAGTCACAACTGACTGCAATTTTGAAACCTAGCTTACAGCTCCACCAGCAACTTTGAACACATATCCTGTAGTAGATTTGCTTTTATCCAAATCCCCTGTATAGTCAAAATCTACATACCCATTGATTACTAAGTTTGATCATCCGTAACATAATGCAACATTGGAGGTCCCTTTGATGTATCTCAGGATCCTCTTTACTGTATTCCAATGCTCTTTGCCTGGATTCGCCATGTACCGACTAACCACTCCCACTGCTTGTGCAATGTCTGGTCTTGTGCATATCATAGAGAACATTAAACTTCCCACTACTGATGCATACGGTACTCGAGACATCTTCATCCTCTCTTCTTCACTGCTAGGACTCATACTGGAGGATAATTTGAAGTTAATAGGAAGAGGGGTAGAAATTGGCTTACAATCTTGCATGCTGAATCTTGACAAGATCTTCTTCAAGTAATTCTTTTGTGAAAGCCAAATATTTATATTACTTCTGTCTCGGTGAATTTGCATCCTTAGAATCTTGTTTGCTGATCCCAAGTCTTTCATTTCAAATTCCCTAGCCAGTTGTGCCTTCAATTCGTCAATATGATCTTTGTTGGGTCCTGCAACCAACATGTCATCCACATACAACAGCAATATAAAAAAATCGTTATCACCAAACCTCTTGAAATAAGCACAAGGGTCTGCGTTAAGTCTGTTGTATCCAAGGCACAAAATGAAGGAATCAAATCTCTTATACCAACACCTCGACGCCTGCTTTAGACCGTACAGAGATTTGTTCAACATGCAAATCAAATTATTCTTTTCTTTTTCTTCAAAACCTTCAGGCTGGAGCATATAAATATATTCTTCAAGATTTCTATGAAGAAAAATTGTTTTAACATCTAGATGTTCTAGATGTAAATTCAATGTAGCACACATTTCCAAGACTACTCGAACTGTTGTTAGTCGAACCACAAGAGAAAATATTTCATTAAAATCAATACATTCTTTTTGAGCGTATCCTTTGACCACCAGTCTTACACGATACCTCTCAACTTGATCGTTACCATTTTGCTTGATTTTAAGGACCCATTTGTTACCAATTGGCTTCCTTCCTTGTGGTAGTGACACAAGGTCTCATGTATTATTTTTATGAAGGGCTTCAATTTCTTTTTGCATCGTCATCATCTACAGTGAAGCATCAGAGTTGTTTATTACCTCCTGAAATGTTAATGGCTCACCGTCCTCTGTTAAAAGGCAATATGCAATATTTCCTTCTATAACATAATCTGAGCGCCAATTGGGACGTCTTCTCACACGATTTGATTGACGAGTTGTTAGAACTTTAGAACTCTCTGGTTCTTGTTCATCATGTGCTGGTTCTGCTTCAGAAGAATCTCCTTGTTCAATCTCATTTTCCACATGTATCTGTGTAGTCTTTGACTTTTCAGCGCTACCATCTTCTTCTTTTCTTTGTAGTTTATCTTTTACAAAGATAACATCCCAGCTGATGATCACTTTGCGTGCAGTGAGATCCCACAAGCGATACCCCTTTACTCCATCAGCATACCCCAATAATTTGCATTTCTTGTATTTTTTTTTATCTCATATCTCCTTAGCTGTCTTCTCCTCCTCATTGCTTGACAATACTTCATCTCCTCAGGATGACCTTCATCTTCAATTTCAACAATGAGAAATTTTCCCATTGAACTTTTTAATATCAAATTTCGTTGTCATAGCTTCTATTACGGATATCTCCCACTATTTTCACTATAGTGAATAGTTATCTGGAACCTTCAAAGAATGAGTAATACATTCTTACTTTCTTATGTTGGAGGATCCACCTTTTGGTGGCAACCACAAAGACAATAAGTAGATATTACACACTCTAATCTGGCTCTGATACCAATTATTGCGAAAGACGGCTATCGGATAGAGCAAAATCGCAACTGATAATTTAAGAAAATAAAATGAAGATAAAAGAGATAAAATTTACGTGGAAAACCCTAAATAATATAGGATAAAAACTACGGGCAATGGTAGAAGATTTTCACTATGAGAAAATAGGAATTACAACTTCTCTCAATCTATCAAGGAGAAAACAATGATAATTCTCTCTTGATAAAAAAAATGAGAAAACAACTCTTAATAAACTCTCTAAATTCTCTAGTATTGGAAGAAAGCTAGAATGTTTTGAGATGGTTTTGAAGCTAAATGAGCTAGGGTATTTATAGTTGAAGCTTAAGGATTAATTTGTAAATACCTTAAATTATAATGATTAAAATTAATTTTACCAAAATTAATATTTTCTGCACCTTTCGGTGCCCCCTTTGACAAATCAATTTGGTGCTTTCACCGAAAGCAATTGTTGAACAATTGCATGTGCACCGAAAGTGGCTTATCCCACTTATTTACTTTTCAACAAGATTTGGTTCTATTGAAATAGACTCAAATGGTAAAATATCAGCTTTCTAGATTTATTTTTTCCTTCCAAATTAAGGGTTTTGGGATGATTATATTGCCTGCCATATATGAAGAACAAATTTAGCACCGTTGCAAAACTGAGTTACCATTTATCTGTTTTGGGTTAGTATTAATCATAATTATTTATGTAATAGTCTCTCTTGAATTAATATATGATTAACCATAAATTTGCATTTGATAAAATTATAAATGAAAACTAAATTATATTTTAGAAAAAAAAATTAGTGTCTCAATGTATAATTCTAATCTAATGTATATGAAGGAAAAAATTACAGTTTGATGAAGATGACAATAGTGTTAATTCAAAAAAAAAAAGTTCGATATATTCTTTTGTTTAAGTATCTTGAAAAGGAAGGGTCAAGGGCGTATATCAACCTGCAAATATATAGTAAAAATATATAGTATGAAGCACTCAAAGTGATGGAAATGGATGAAACAGTAAAAGTATATATATTAATGGATTTGATTGGCTTTCCATTTTAGCATAACCAAATCTTCCTCGCCCTGCAAATGTAATGCATTCAACAGTCCAATACTGATATATAACATCCATTATTCATGGACTTGGCTGGCTTCCCATTTCAGCATTGCAAAGAAGATAAGAGCATTAGATGCTCACCGATGATGACTATTCTTATAATTTAATATAGCATACATTTACAGAAATATGGCCGAAAGAAGAAAAAAAATATTTATTTGACAAGACTCTTCCTATACTTAAGAATTCCATTAGACCCAGAAATGATACACTGAAAGAATTTTTTGGGTCTTCCAATATCAAAAGGTTGATTGTTTCGCTCATATATCTTTCAAAAGAATATATATATATATTATTACTCGTAAAGTTGAACGTACACATTAGAATAGTTGATTGTTTGTATGAAAAAAAAGTACGTATAGAGAAATTAATAAAAATCTCTAAAAGTAAAATAAATTTTAAAAATAAGAAATTTAATTTGATTAAAAGAAGAAAATACAGTTTGAATAAATTTCTTCATTCGTCCCTCTAAATAGATATATAAATTAAAGTTAAATGTCTGTTTTTGAAAATTATATTGTATCTTTCTATTTTTGATTTAGTGATGATTAATAAATATCACGTTGTATTACTATTTGTGTAACAAACGCATATAGAAACGAACACATGTTATATAGGTGGGAGGGGCAATGTTTCTCAAACTTTGATGGTCTAATTACTTTTTAGTCATTGACAGTTTTGAAATCATTACAATTAAGCTCTTGTCCCTCCTAATTTTTTTGTATAATTATCTTTTAGATCACTATTAATTTTTAAATTAATGGAATTAAGTATTGACTCCAAACTCGTCTAGTTTAATAATTTTTTAAGGCGTTTGAGTTTTAAAATCAGTGAAATTAAACCTTTAATCTCTTAACTTTTATGATTTTATTACTTTTTAAAATCATATTTATTTTAAAGTTAAACAATGTCCTCCTTATAATTTAATCCTATCTTCGTTTATGAACGCGTAAAAATGTTATTGACAGATATTAAAATTATGATTTGATAATGAAAAATTTTGATAAAAAATAATTTTCATTTTTGTATTTAATTTCAAGAAAGATGGAAACAAATCAACCACAACAATTATGTATTCTATTCAATAATTAAAATTTTATTATTATAATAAATCAATCTAAAAAATAAATAATATAAATAAACTTGCGAGTACTCATGTAGACTAATTCATATAAAAACATCATTTATGTTTTTTATTAGAGAATTAAGAATGGATATTGAACCGACTTGCAACATACAACAAACCAACCTTCCATAGTATAACATTAAAATAAAATAATTTTATTTTTGAAAACTGTTCCTTTAAGTAATTGGTTAGTTACTGATCTTAAATTGACCAACACGTTTCATTCAAACTAAATTAATATGATAAATCATCTAAATAATTTAGAATCAGAAGTATTTTAAAAATAGAATCACAATAACAAACATTAAATGGAAGCATAATTTTATAATAAAATCAGGAGAAAAATAGCAGTTGGGCACACAAAATTCACGTCCCCTTGATATGCAACAAATTTAGATGGCATCAACAAAGAAAACTTGAAACACAAAGCACTCCCATTCTCTAAAAGCTCACTTTCCGGGGACAAAGTTGGTGGCGTAGGCCCAGGCATTGTTGTTAACAGGGTCAACAAGGTGGTCAGCCAAGTTCTCCAATGGTCCCTTTCCGGTGACGATGGCTTGGACGAAGAATCCGAACATTGAGAACATAGCCAATCTGCCGTTCTTGATCTCCTTCACCTTGAGCTCAGCGAAAGCCTCTGGGTCATCAGCCAGACCCAACGGGTCGAAGCTGCCGCCTGGATACAATGGGTCAGTTACCTCACCCAAAGGTCCACCCGCAATACGGTAACCCTCGACGGCTCCCATCAAGATAACTTGGCATGCCCAGATGGCCAAGATGCTTTGAGCGTGGACCAAGCTAGGGTTACCTAAGTAGTCAAGTCCACCTTCGCTGAAGATCTGAGATCCGGCCTTGAACCACACGGCCTCACCGAACTTGACTCCGTTCCTTGCTAGAAGCTCGGGGAAAACACACCCCAGAGCTCCCAACATAGCCCACCTGCAGTGGATGACTTCCAGCTCACGGTTCTTGGCAAAGGTCTCTGGGTCAGCGGAGAGACCGGCGGTGTCCCAACCGTAGTCACCAGGGAATTCTCCGGTCAAGTAAGATGGAGGCTCACCAGAGAGTGGACCCAAGTACAAAACTCTGTCCGGACCGTACCATGGGCTACTGGAGGCAGCAGCAGGCTTGGACTTGGTGGCGGTTTTCCTCATAGAAACACGGCCGCTGCCCTGGATTTCAGGGGTGGAAGGGGAGAGGTTGACAGCCTTTCCGGCGAAGGATGGGGAAGAGAGAGCCATGGTTGCAGCTGCCATTCTGAAACTTGGATGGGTAATGGGAGTTAATTGGTTTAAGTTTTGAGAGTGATGGAATACGCAGAGGTTTATGTAGGGAGGAGGGAGTGAGGTTCCTCAATCCTTATCCATGCAAAGTATCTATATCTCTCATTTCATTAGAGGCTCAAGATTTCCATATTTTATTTGCATCTCCACTTGGCACTCTCTCAATCCACAACGGGCACCCATCTTTCTTATCTACTCGGATAATTTGGTGATACCCCCCTCAAAATATTTTGTAAGTGCTCCAATGACATAAAGCCACTTGGGATATCTATCCCTTGGCTCAAACATTATTTTATAGTTTTATATTAAGATTGAGGACCGCTTGCCTTTCCAATGAAATCAGCTAAATTCTAACATCTCCCTCGCCCTTTACACTAAAAAAAAATGTTAATCATATTATTCCCTAGAGGTTCACAACTAGATTTATAAATGTATACATTATTGTTAATTGATTAAAAAATTATAAATAAAAATTATTTTATTATTTAAATAAAATTAACCATATTTAACACATTTACTACTAAATGTAACGGTAGAGTCACAAATTCAATTAATCTGTTGGATTATTTACCAAAAAGATGAAGATGGTTCATTCGAAAATATCATAAAGCAGCTGATAAATTTATTCATGTGCTTCGCGAGGCTAATAAAATCGCAGACGGCATGAAGAAGTTAGCATGGAACCTACCTTTTGGCCTTGGATTATTTCGTTCTCCTTCAGATGGGATTTTACCGCTTAACCACGCTGAAGCAGTCACTGCTGTAGGGATGTATGGAATAATAGTTTAAGCGTTCCTAGGCTTTGTTTCTCTTCTTTTCATTAAAAAAAATCACAAAAATATTAAAACGTGATGATAAAATTAATCTTCAATATTTGTGTAAATAATCATTTTATCTCATTTTTTAAAAAATATTTTAATCCTAACATTTAATTTTGGGTCAAAATATCCCATATTAGAAAGAAATCGTTAATTAACCAACTATCAACACATATTAACGACATAATATTTTTACATATATTTTATTATTGATAGAATACATCACATCTTTATTAATAGTTATATAATACATATCATATCATTATCATGAATGACATGATATATTTTATCGTCACTTTAGTGACGTATAGTTAACTTTAGTCGGATAAAACCAATGAGGATATTAGAAATTCCGTTTCCTTCAATAATTGCACCTTATCGAAATAAGGTTGATTCTTTCTCTTCTTTGATACTAATAGATAGTTCCGAGATTTATTTTTTTCCATTGGTTAGGGTAAAGGAATAAAAGTAAAATCTAAAACATATATTTTAAAAATAAACCTGTCTTCACAGTTGAGTGATAATAATAGTTGAATAAAGTAGTTATTTGTAAATGGAAATAAAGATTTATAAATGATTACGAGGTAACAAATTTCAAAAGAAATTTTTTGAATTAGTATTGGATCACCATTTGGTTTCGTACCGAAACAACACATTCTATGTCACATGAATCTACATCTTTCACTTCAATGAATGACCAAAAAGAACAAGGGAAACGATATATGGCAGTTCGTTGATATTCAACATAATGTAAGGGGGAAAAAGGAAGATTTACTTCCTGCTGGTTGCATGCTTACCCGCCTCCCATCATAGTCTCAAGGCAAAACCAAGATTCATAGTATCGGGTCAAGGACGAATATATATAGGGCAGTTTTACTCAAAATCGTTGGGAACATTCGAGCCCGAAGCTTCTTAGGTCGCATAGACGACTTCAAGTTCTCTTATTATTCTCCAACTAATTATATAAATATATATATTTTGTATGTCCAATGTAAAAGTGCTGTCTCACCTCTCTCGAGTCCATGCTTTTTCAGGCCTGAAATTATGAAATCAGTTATATGCAGGTTAATAACATAGAAAACGATGATAAAAGAAGAGCCGACACATCATTTGAAATTCAGAAAACTCCTTAGTTCTTCATAGGAATTAAGAGCTTACGGTAGAATGAGGAATCTGAAGAAGAATGAGTGAAGTGAAGTACAAAGAGAGTGAAATGGTTACTCCAGCGATGAAATTATATAGCAGCCGCCGGTTTCCTTTTGTGGGTATGAAAACCGACTTAAGTGTATTTGTTAATTCGAATAGACGACTAGATACCTGCAGAAGAAAGGCAAGGTCGCAGAGAAAGTGAACAAAATGAATATAGGTGAAAACTATTGCCAAAATATGGCGGAGCAAATTTGCTTTACCAAGATATAAATAGCAGTTGTGAGCATGAAGTTGAGTAGCGGATATTCCGGGAAAAAAGAAAGAAGCCACTTGGGTTGTCCATTAGGCACGTCTGATCTGCATATATGAAATGCAATTATGTCTATCTCATAGACGTGAATTTGTAAATCTTGTGCTGGCATCCATGCTTCTGGAATTATCATGCTTTAAGAAGGATGCAAAGCTGGAACTAGATATCAAGGTTAACAAATTTTGCTACCAGGCTATTATTCTTTTACCAGTTTGAGAAACAAATTAAAACGAGACGTTTTAAGTGGTCGACAAACCTCAACCAGATATGAAATTGAGAAATGTAAGTCTCCAGAGTTATCTTGCCAAGCCACCTAGGAAGCACAAAAATGTAGAATTAATTAGAGCAGCATAAAATAACCGCCAGAATCTCATCAAAAGATAAATCAATAATCCCCTATCTTTTAAAAAAGACAGAATTGAATAAATTAATAATGGTCCAGAAACATACGCAAAGAGAGTCAAAGAGTAATTTCGAAGCTGCTGAGTACAATTCCTCAAGCAAATGTAGACACTAGAATCACAAGAAAGAAGACCTGATCAGATTCTATTTACAAGATATTCCATGTGCTTTCACATAAAATACCTCAAATGTCCAAGTAAATCAGGAAAAAGAATTCCTTAATACGCACGTTATGGGAATCCAAGATGTGTAGGGATGGTATTTGTTGTAAGTAACCTTGTCCAGCTTGTAAATACATTCATACCACATATACCCAACCTGAAGAATTTAAGAATATACAAAAGAAAATAAAGAAAAAAGAAGAATATACAATAAAAATAAATAAATAAATAAATAAATAAGAAAGAACAAAGAAAATAAGAAGCATCTATAAAAACTAAAAATGCATAACATCAATATAGTGATGAAAAGATCAGGTAACTTACAAATAAAGCAACTGCAACAATGCTTGCTTTGATTGAGAATTTTCTCTTGGTATCACATTCCTCCAATTTTTCCATCCATTTCTCAACCTAGGATTTAAAACATTTTAAAGAGATTGTTAATTGTGCACCAAGTGTACAGAACTGGTGACTAATAAATTTAACTTACATTGGGATGATAGTAAGCATACATCATTCCAATTATCCACACATAGCGATCCAGACCAGATCTAAAATGCCACTCATGCAATCGGGGAAGATCAGGTTTTGCAGGATCAGTGTACCCTGCGGTTTGGCGAGAGAGAGAGAGAGAGAGAATAAAGGTGATTTAAGCGAAGAACTACAACATATCTAAGCCAAGAAGAATGAACATGCTTTAAAAAAGTATATATTGAAAATGAAATTCAACTTAGATCTATTTACATGTGAGGCACATTCAAAGTAAGGCATTCCACAAAAAGTAAAATGAAGAAGAGGAGCAGGAATCTGGGATTCATTCACATGTGAGGAACACATGTTTCAAAGGCATTTCACGAAAAATAAAATGAAGAAGAGGAGTATGAAAAGCACCAACGGAGCCGAATATAAGGACATGAACATTCAAAGAGGTAAATTACTTATAAGCTGATAAATGAAATGAAAAGTTTAAGACCCACGTAGTTAGGTTGCTGACCTAATAGAAAAGCTAGTGGACTCCAGAAAATTTCAAAAACTCCAGGAACTTCCCAAATAAAGATGACTACAAGAAAGCATGCAAGAATTTTCACAGCCATCACTAATGGTATCTCATTATACTTGTTGAAAATCCCAAGAGCTCCATACACCATTAGGGTAAAAAGCGTGTGCATCGGGCAGATGTAGTAAAGCATATAGTCATTGTTGAGAAGAATACAGCAAAATGCCACAAAGAAGTTTAGCCGCCACATCATCTGCATCAAATAGAAGTTTATATGAGGACCACCACAGGATTATTGATACGCATTACAGCCCAGAAAGAGAATATCACCTGAGTAAAGCGTGCTAGGCTAAAGTCCTTTCTTATATAATAGTATGAGAAGTTGCCAAATCCAGTCATCCAAACATATGCAGCAATGAAGACACGTATTGCATTATATATCTCCATTGCAGCAAAGTAATGGTACATTAGAAATAGCACCTACAAAAAGCAAAAGGGAGACGTGAGTGCAGAAGCAATGTTCAGTAGATATCATGAATTTCAAGGAACTGCAGACACCAGCAATCTCGTTAATCTGGCAGTGAAAAGATTTTTTTGTGCTCTGAAGGCAGTGGCAAAAATTGGCCCATGAGAACGTAAGTCTAGATATAGAGACTGAACAGTCATATCAATTATCATACAGCATTTCAAATGATAGTTTCCCAATTTATGGGAAATATTCTTATCAATATTACAACAAAATAGAAAGAATAAAAAAAGTGGTACCTTAGCTATGACCAAATAGAAAGAAGGTATAGTCACAGAAAGTTACCACCTAAATCTTTTCAGAGATTTAAGAATGAAATTACCATATTGAGAAAAGTATACACAAAGGAAGGCAAGGAAACATAATCTAAATACCATCTTTTCAAAAATAGGTATTTGGAGAGTGCCTATGCTTTAAGTAGTTACTCAATCACAGGTAGCAAGTCAAAAAATAAGCACTTGCCTGCATCATTCCTTTCCACTCTTCAGTCTGATGCCTATTGAGGTATTGCATCGTCTTTCCAGAGAAGGCTGATTTGTCGGTATGTTTCTTCAAAGAAGTCATTGCTGAAACTAAGATGAGAAGGGCGTAGAGGAAGAGGAAAAGGTCACGGTTGTATTTCTGTCCAAAGAAACACACATAAGAAATAATACA